TCCCTTCGACGAGGTTCGAGCATCACTCCTCCAGCTTCTCGTTGATCGTCTGATTTATGTATCGCTGTAAACACGTTGTACTATAAACACGCAGTTTTTCAAAAATTAATCGACTATCGTCAGATGACGTTCCAGGTTCACCGTGTACTTCAGATCGTGGGGGGAAGGGGAGCGAGCCTCGTCGAAGAGCAACGGAAACTTTACCGTATCCCTTTTCTCGATCGAAGGATCGTCGATCGCGCGCAACGTCCCGAAACATCGAGAATCGTTCGCATTCCGTGGATGTTGGAGGTTTCGGGACACACTCTCGATCGACGTGGTGAAGATCGGTGTGCTCGTTCAGACCGATCGAACTCCCGAGATCTGTTTCCGGCAATCTTTCGTCCGTTCGACCCTCTCGCTACCAGAGATCCGCTTCGCCGATGATGATCCGTCGACCTTGACGAACGATAGTTAATACCTCTACGTGTCTTTTGAAATTTGTACCGTATTTGTCGTCGATCCCGAGCTTGTTCCGAATTATTGCCCGATCTGTGGTAGCGGCGAGTGGGTGGCGAACGGTGGTCAGGAGAGGCAGAGGGACACGTTCACCCCGCTCGCGAGTCCGATCGGGACACATTTCACGGTTGATTATATAAGAGGTAACGTCAGAGAGAAAACGCAGGTCGAAACACACACAAAAATATGTCGCGCTCGAAGACGAAGTGAGTCGCAGCACGTCGCCATAAAACGCTGCCTGCTCCAGCAGCCCTTAAAATGCCGACAATCAAGGCTAGTGCAACTAATCAAACGATAATAAATAGAAACGGAGAGGGGGGGGTGATGAAGTTTACCTAATAATAATTAAATGAATTCTTACAATTAGATGAGTGATCGATGTGGTTCGTCGGGACTGCGTGGTTGAGGGCCTCGGCGAGAAACGTAACGTAGGGAAATCCTGAGAGGGGATGAATCGTGATATAGAGAAGAAACTACGAGCGTTACAAATAGAGAGAACCTCTTTGAGAATCGAAGACAACACACGCTGGAGGAATTCTCGTCGGGGTTGGGAATCCACGTACGCGCGTGGACGTGCAATTAGACGTGGCAAAGAATCGATTAGATCGAAATTACGTGCTTTGATGTCGATCGTAGAGAGTACAAAAGGTGCAATCGGCGCCCGGCTAAGCAATTGCCTCGCCAATTATTCACCCTCGAGTCCGCGCCCCCGGTGAAAAATCTATTCGAATCGCCTCGATATTTTTCCCCAGTGAGAACACTGACGAACGAAACAAGTTGAACCAAGGTTCGACGCAATTCCTTGGAAACTGTTTCGCGGGATCCTTAGGCGACTTGTTGTCGAACCATCCTTGTCTGAAACACTCGTTTCTCCTTTCCTTTCCTCCTTTTGGTTTTCGTGGGCGAACCAAAGTCCCGCGTGCGAATCCGAGAGAAAGGGACAGACAAACTGGAGAAACACGAGAGGGAGATTGACGAACGTGAGCGTAAAAGAGAGACAGAACGAGAGGAAGCGTGAGAGTGAGCGCGAGAATGTGAGTGTGCAATCGCAATCAATTATTAACTTATAATAACAAACGGCAAGCGAAAGAAAGAAAAAAGGAAAAAAAAAGAACAGAAAAAAAGAGCGGCGAAACTCCAACCGTAGGCAATATATACATAGGTTGGTAATCGGTCTCGCGAACTCGCGGCTGGCAAGCGGACAACAAAGTGAGAAGAAACGACGAGGCGAGGCGAAGAGGAAAAGAAGCAGCCGGTGAGAAACGAGAGAGAGAGAAAGAAAACTGCGAGCATGCGAATTACGTGAAACTTAAATCGCAAGGAAACTAAATAAATAAATAAATAAATAAATGAAACCTTGGTAGCAGCGCATAAGGGTATCTATAAGCTTTTGGTAACGTATTATTACGCCGCTAGGCTAAAGAGAATTAATTAAAAAATAAAAATTAAAAAAAAAACAGAAAATATATATATATATATTATACAATAAAGAGAAAACAAAAAAAACGAATAAAACGAGCGACACACAAAAGAAAGAGAAGACACACAACGCAGGACATACAGATTGCGAATACTCGAGTTCCAATGCATCGGGCCCGTGCGAACACTCGGCGACGAATTTACATACGCGAAACGACGTCGACGTATATGATTCGCCTGTTCAACGATTTCGAGATGACTGGCAGAGAAAAACTGTGTGAAAGAAATAGGAAGATGAAGAATGAAACAGCGAAGAAAGGACGAGGAAGAATTGAAAGAGAAATCGCGAACGTTTGTATATCATAATTCGTAACGGGAGAAAAAGAAGAAGAAGAAGAAGAAGAAAGATTTACTGATGATAATAATAATAAGGCGACTTATTTGAAATTATTTGGATAATCTGTGATACTCAGATTGACGATTATTATTCGGATTAGACGGCGTTTCGCGCGTTTTTAACGTCAACGGACAACACTCGAACATCGAGGCATTAATATAGATAAGGCGTTATCGATAAAAAAAACGACGAAATTTGTTCCGAGTAAACGCATGCTCCGAACTAAGCCCAAGCATCTCCGCGAGAATCGATGTACAAGTTAGTAAGTAGTGACAGAAACTTGATATTCAAAGTCTTCAGGGTTCTCGAACGATAAGCTGTTGTTATCGAATTGTTATCTAAATATACCAGCGATTATAGCTGTCGTAAACGTACCTTGTGCTCTTTAACGTTTCATTGTGGGATTGTTCTGAATGAACACGCTTTCAGCTCGTCGAGATTTCGGACATTCAGGCAGAGTGTATCGTAAAGTGTATTTAACCATTTCTCAGAACTGAATCTCTTTTAGCTTGCGAGGAAAAAAAGTTACTTCTTGTTGATTGTTGACAATAAAAAAAAAA